TTATACATGGTGGCCAATTTGATTATGCGGTTGTTGTTTTTGTTTTTTTTCTTTTAACAGTATAGTATCTCTGTCTTTCCACTGTGATGAAGTATCTCTCTCAGCCCAGGTTGACCCGAACAGACAGGAAGGGGGTGTAAGATCACCTACATTTAATTAACTATAAAAACACACACACGAAGAAGCAGGGCAGGAAAGGCAGAATAATAACAATAATAAATCAACAACACAGAGATGTTTTCAACTGCTGGAACAGTAGGAGAAATATTGAACAAAAACAATGTAAGCATACATAACAATCAAGAGAAAGATGTTTGCTTCTCGCCTCGACACCATAAGTATAAAAGGTAAAAGAGGCTGCTAAAGATAGGCAAAGTACATAGTAAGTAAACTCCCTACGATACCATGCCATATTACCAATTACCAGACCAGCAATATTCTCAGTCAATAACAAGAACAGAAGTTCAAAGTAACATGGGCTTCTGAGCCACTGAACTTGGCAGGAGCAACAATCATAAATAATATCCTTCTTCTGAGGAGCTCAATACTAATTATGATTTCACCTTGCCTTGCTTCCAAGTGAACTTATCATCAAGATTTTTCAATTTATTTTTAACTCTGCACCAAATGACTACTGCGTAATCTAGCATCTGCGTTTGTTGCCATTTTTTGTCCAAAAGTTGCCACAAAAAGTGGCAAAAGTTGCCATTAATTTTCAAGCTTTCAACTTTCTGTAACAATGTGATTATGTTGATAGAGGTAACAATCTATAGCACCAGAATTTCTTGTGCTCTGTTTTGAGCATCCAGAACATCATTTGTAGTCACCAAGAGGGTAAAAACGTTGAAAATAAAGGTTTCACAATAGAATGAAATCAAAATTAAAACAGCACGTGTATAAATAACCACAAAAATTAACTAATTAGGGCGCGAGTCCACTTATCTGAAGATTGGCTGTTTTAACCCCAAAACGTGTGTAATTCAAGAAAAAGTAGGCTTGCAGGATACCACACGTAAATTATATTATGGAATCACACACAATTGGGGTGTGCCAGTGTCAGTATTCTGTTTTGGAGGAGACACGCTATAACATAACACATTTATGTTTTTTAAAGGGTAGGAACAGCATTAAATTAAAAGACATTACGCTGTAAAAACGCCAAAAAAAAGGAAAAACGAATAATCAGAACAATTTTTAGAAAAATGAACTCACCAACAAACTAAAACATAACAAAGAGAGAAAAATAAAAGACAGACAGCAATATAAATAGTATGTAATGTACTTATATTCTCCGCATGAAAATAGATACACATGGACATCTTAAAACTTATCAAAATACATGTCTAATATGTTATGAAGTAGCTTTATTGTTTGGTCTTTTTTTAAACGAAGTGTATGCAGACCCGGTAACCGGGAACAAAGTCACGAAGTATACAGACCCGGTAGGGGAACTCTTAATCTTATGTGATTTCGGAAAGTTTCAGCGCCCAGACCCATTAGTGTGTGTGTGTGTGTGTGTGAGAGAGAGAGAGAGAGAGAGAGAGAGAGAGAGAGAGAGAGAGAGAGAGAGAGAGAGAGAGAGAGAGAGAGAGAGAGAGAGAGAGAGAGAGAGAGAGAGAGAGAGAGGGGGGGGGGGGGGGGGGTGACTGCTTGATTGAAAGTATGACATTGTTCTTTTCTTCAAATTGTGATTCCTCCAACTCCAAAACGGAGGAAAAACGATGGTTCATCGAAAATACATCCACAATCTTCATTTAGATTTAGATCTAGATCTAGGCTAGCCTCGAAATTAGATCAATGATTTATCTGTCTAGATCTAGACCTAGGCCATAGATCTAGAAGAACCTAGTTCTACCCTGAGCCAAGAGGGCGCTGAAACTTTCTGAAATCACAAAAGAGTTACCCTACCGGGTCTGTATACTTTGTGACTTTGTTCCCGGTTACCGGGTCTGTATACACTCCCTTTTTGGGAACGTATGCGAAAATCGCGGCCGCTATTCGCGGACCCAAAAATACGGGTCGCCGCCGCGACAAACGCAGATGCTAGCGTAATGCACACAGAGTCGGGGAACGCCCCCCTCCCCCCCAATCGATCAAGATTTTCTAGTACTTGGCCTGCGCTTTCTTCAATCAACCTTTTCCTTCTTGGATTGATACGATTTCACTCTTTTTATCACATTGGAGGAAGACCAAATCCTACCTTTGACTTTGAAAGTTTCATTTTAGTTTCAACTTTCTTATATTCAGTATTCAAATATTTAAAAAAAGTATCCTTGGCCGTTAATAATAATTTTGGTCACCCTTGTACTACCAAAACTAGTCATACCTTTGATTACAGTTGTTTGTTTACATCAGTTACATTAAAAATCCAGTTACTTGCCCCTGACTTCTGGCTCTGCGGGTGATTTTTTTTTGGTACCTTACGAAGTGAACTAGGGTAGTGTAGTAAAGTTCAATTTTCTTCTACAAAACTAATCATTTTTAACAAAAATGACATTTCTAGAGAGCTAAATGATTTATCTATCAATATAACGTCCCCCGGGAGCGTTTTCTATTGTTAATAAAAAATAATTTTGAAGATAAAATATCATAACTTTTTACACAAGCGTCGTACAAACTCCAGGTGGGTTGCAAACTCTTCAGCGTCCAATTCTACTACAGAATCACGTGATTTCTAAGGTCACCTACAACGATTAGCGATCGAAAATTCAGCTCTAATAAACCGCCCGAAACGCGCTGCACTCTAAATTTGTCGAACCTTGTAGTTTTAACTAAAAAATCGATAATGTTACACATTTCTCCCCCCATTGAAACTAACATGGCAACAAAAAGCACATATATATAGACCTCTCGTTTCATGTTGGTTTTATGATGCTAGGCTAAGAACTAATAAAGTTATGAGCCGAGAAAGAGAAAAAACCGGGATTTTAGCGGAAATCCCCACTCGCCGGGCGAGCGTGAAACCCCCTAATTGTAGAGACTTGACAGAACGTCGGGTAGTGAACTAAGCACAGACGAAATAAAGTTTATTTGCAAGCGCATTACATATTATATGCCTGTCCACATTAATAATAAAACAACACTAGTATAACTGGACTACTTTTGCGCGCAGGTGTCGTGTAACAATACTGCGGTCAAAAATTCGTGGCGCAACTTTTCCTCAAATACTCTTATCTCTTTAACGGGGGAATCAATGTCACCCATACTTTGCACTGCAGTTTATATTAAAAAATGTCTTAACTGAATCATATTTTCCCACAACAACTGAGGTTCGATAAAAAAAATGTTCTTCATAAATTTATATAAAATACTAGGCCTACTTATAAATCTCCATCACGCGAAAAATGTGATTGTTCATAGCACTTCCCGCTTCTCGCACACATTTTGCAATATATATACGCAATGGCCTACGTCATCATAGCTCGCCAATGACACTTTTTAGTGGCAAAACTTCATACAAAAATGTTTTTATAATGAACACATTCTTTTTACACCAAAGGTTTCCTAAATATACGTTCAATAAGCATGCATGTTATTGCGATTGGAAAAAAACGACAGACTTGCTTTTAAAAGGCAAAAGCGTTATTGTCGCAGCTGTAAATTTTTAAAAATTTGTAGAAACAATCGACTGGGATTTTTTTATTAGTACTTATTATATTAAGGAATTTTCTAGAATCTAGATCTAGATATTTCACAATAAGTTGCGCCGTGCATTTTTGACCGCACTATAGGCGTAAGTTGGTATACCAGGAATTTAATTTGTACTCATAACTCATAATTATTCCACACAAGGCGTCACAATTACATGGTTAATGATCACTTCTCAATCTAATAGCATAATTATACCCTGCCGACCCCATCGTTCGCCCCCACATTCCCTTCGCCAACTCTTTCCACCCCTCTCTCTCTCCCTCTCTGATTTCTTTTATTGACACATAACAACAACGTGGGTGCAGACGTGGGCAAATTTCAAATTCTGGTTCACCTCTATGGCCACTGGATACCTCACAATCATATTCAGACATTTTAAACATTCTCCTAGTAATAACTCCTTACGTCAGGAGCTTCGTTAAACTGTCCGTTTCCCCCCAGTATTTTTGCAAAGTCCAGATGCATGCATCTGTGTAGGTCCCGTAACACCACGCCTTAGCGCAGGTAGGACGTACGGTCCCGTAGCGCCAAACACTATGGGGGCGTACGGTCCCCTAGTGCCACGCGCTATTGGGGCGTACAGTCCCCTAACAATAGCCTATCTGAATACGATTGTGAAGTGCGTACGGTCCCCTAACCTAGATATCTAGCTATATACTAGATCTAGATCTATATATAGATCTAAAAATTAGATCTAGAATCTAAATTTAAATGTAGATCTAGATCTAAATCTAGATCTAGTATCTAGATTCTAGATCTTATATCTAAATCTAGACTCTAGATTTAGAAATCTACTAATACTATAGATTCTAGATCTAGATCTAGATCTATATATATATAATCTAGATCTAGATCTAGATCTAGATTCTAGATCTAGAATAGAAATCTAGAGTTCTAGAGTCTAGATATCTAGAGTCTAGATCTACATCTAGATATATAGATCTAGAATCTAGATCTAGATCTAGATCTAGATCTAGATCTAGCTAATTTTGTTCAAGTCAAACAAGCATGCCATCTTCAAGCCAAAGCCTTACCTTACCCTAGGCCTGAGGCTAGTCTAGATCTACTAATGTCTAATCTAGATATCTGCAACTTCTGATTCAAAAGAAGTGACAGACTTCAATCGTCAGTAGTTTTAACGTTGAAGCGTTTGTATCATAATTCCAAACCGACAACACCTCGCCTGTGTAACAACAATGTGCAACTCTACAGTAGTGCAACGCTGGCTCTTCTGTCTGGGCTGGGTGGGTTGTCTCTACACTCTACAACCGGAAGCATGTGTTAGAAAGTGAAATGGGAAGTAGACAGTAGACAGAGAGGAAGTAATTGACTGCTACAACTGCAGAACAAATCGGAACCTAATATCAGAGAGTCTATAGTTTATAAAAATAACACCCACCAACAGTTTGCAAGTTACTAAAATTAGTAACAAAACAAATCCTGCACGAAGACAAGTAGTTTTTATCATGAGATTCTCTTTGGTTTTATGAGTCAGTGACAGTGGGTGTGAACCTGTGATCTCCTGTGTATTTTACTCCCTGATCCTGATACCTGCTTCTACGAGCTCAAAGGGTCGGGTTACTCTTAGTCTCAAGGTTTTTTATGCTTTTTCACATGATTTTATATTTTATGGCATTGGGCATTGGGTAGATTTCTTGATGAGCAGAAGAATCGATATCTAGAATCTAGATCTAGATCTAGTTCTACTTGATTCTAGAATTTAGATAGGCTAGATATCTAGAAGTGTCTACGTAGGCCTACATCAGAGAACGTATGCAAGCTGTCTACGTTCTCTAATGTTCAGTGAATTCAGTGCTTCCAATTTTCCACCATTTTTTTGGGTTTCCTCCAGACCTAATCCTCCTAATCTGCCGATTCGAAGCCCATCGCCTCATTGATACCCCCCTGTTTCGGTGCTTTTTCGGTAGTTCCCACCCCCCTTATTTGAGCATAGATCTACATCTAGATATAGATTTATAATAAGTTTGTTGCGCGGCAAGCTAAGATATCAAACCTAACAACTGCAAAACAGTTCATCAAATTATGGTTCCACCTTATTTTTATCAGGTCAGCGGGGCAAGCCCCCCTGAACCCCCCCCCCCCCCGCGAATATCAATTGCCGGGTGGGAACTTCCGTAAAAGTGCCCATGTTTTCGACTTTCCCACTTTCTTCGTTGTAAAAAAACTAGATCTTGACCTAGAGATCTATGTTGCGTTGCCTTTCCTGAAACAGTGCTGTCCAAATAGATGATCTATGAAGATTAATTTATCATTGACTATTGGAAGTTCTGATGGCCGAATGGACAGCGTATCTGCATTTGAAGTTATACAATTAATTTCTGAACGTAAGATCGAATTCGTGTCGCGGAAGGGTTTTTTTCTTTTCTTTTTTCTTCTCCTCCTCCCAACTGACAACAATTTTTTCCATATAATGAATGATAATTTGTTGCTTTGTAGTTTTTTTATGTAGTGATGAAGCATGCACATTCTGGTTTTGTCCCCAAGAGGAGCTTTTACTTAGTGGCGGTGGGTAGTGAAGGGCTCACTGGCTTGAGCCTCCCTCCCCACCCCCGCACTCCATCCCATAGCAAATGAAAATAACGAAATGAGCAGTTGAAACTGTTATGATAGCAACGCAATGAACACTGAGTTTTCAACTTGGTGGCTTGCTCATTTATCCAATCCTTGTTGTCACCGCTTACAACTATAGTAACCAAACAGCCAATCAAATTTCTTTTGGGCTCAGCAAAGGACGAGCCTGTTCCCTCGGCCCCTCTTCAATGAACCACTCTTGTAAAAAGGTAGAAGACTTGAAAAAAATAATACTGCATAGAGGGCTCACGCTCTCATAGCCCTGACAATGTGGTGAAAGTTTACGACACATTTTCCCCCAGTGACACAGTTGCCTCACCTTTGTTAGGTACGTTCTACTTTCCGCGACTAAACGGCCTAATCCAGCTCATAGACGGTATATGTTTCGAGTGCCGTGTGTACATTTTTGTTTGTGTACCACTGAGATTTAACAGTTGGGGTGGCAACAGGTGAAGAAGACATGGAAGGAGGGTCGATGTAGGGCTTCAGGTGTTTGCGGTTCCGGCGGTAAGACCTATCCCCAGACTTTATGATGTAAGACCTCGGTGCACACCGTTCTTTGACAACCGCCACTCCTTGTCGTTCTCCAGCTACTGCAGGACGAGCTGGTTCTGGGCTCCGTGACGTCTGTCAAAAGCTTGTTTGTACTTAAGCTTCGACTCAGCGTCTCTGGCTGCAGTCTTCGCCCTGTCGTAGACCTGCTGGTTCAGGTTTGACGGTAGAGTTGGCAGGGTTGTCCTCAGGCGTCACCCAAGAGCAAGTTCCGCTGGGCTCGCCCCCGTCGGTGACACCGGTGTAGACCTGTAGATCAGGAGTGCGAGAAATGGGTCGTCCTGACTCAGGGCTTTCTTCGCTTCCTCGACTGCTCTCTCCGACCCGCTGTTGCTGTGGGGAAAATGAAGACTGCTGGTCGTGTGTTTAAACCCCCAGCCCTTGGCAAATTTGTGGAAACGGTCTGACACAAACTGGGGACCGTTATTAGTCACCAGTAGTTCTGGAATGCCAAACCGAGCGAAGATGTTTTTCAGTTTGTACACAACAGTCTCTGAGGTGGTGTCTGGCATGTAGGCCGCCTCCAAGTACCTTGAGAAGTAGTCCACGAGTACGAGGTAGTCATGTCCCTTGTAGTTGCATAGGTCAGCACCAACCATTTGGAACGGCCACTCAGGTAGAGCTGTCAGGTTTAGAGGTTCGCTTGGTTGTGCTGGACGTTTCCGCTGGCAATGGTCGCATCTTGAGACGACTTCCCGTATCTCGGAGCTTAGACCAGGCCACCAAATGGAAGATTTGGCCCGTTCTCGACACTTCGACTCTTCGAGGTGACCATCGTGGATCCTGCCGAGCATCTCTCCTCACATTGCCTTGGGGATTATGATGCGGTTACCTCTGATGAGTAGTCCATGGACTTTGCTCAGTTCACTGGAGACTTCGTAGAGGTCGCGAGCTTCGGACTTGACGTTTTGGATGAATTTCGGCCAATCGCTTCTGGTGTACTGTATCGCAGCACTGATCGCTGGATCCTGTTGAGACCTGTTTCTGATTTCATCAAGTTTGCTATCCGTGGCATCCCTTGGCATCAGGATTATAGCGACATGAGCCTCGATTTCTTCACCAAATTCTTCAGGTTCGGTGTTCACTACTGGACTTCAGGACAAGGAGTCTGCGACAGTCATGTTTTTCCCTTGGGTGTATTCTGCCTTTCCGCTGTAGCGCATCATCCTCATCAGCATTCATTGGCAATGGACAGGTGCATCATTCAGTTCGTTTGAGTTGATCAGAGGCACAATGAGCTTGTGGTCGGTGAGCAGTGTGAATGACGGCAGCCCGATGAGGTAGCGATCGAACTTTTCGCATGTCCAGGTGGCCGCCAACAGTTCCTTTTCAATTTGAGTGTAGTTCCTCTCGGCCCTAGATAGAGTTCTGGAACAGTAGGCCACTGGCTGAAGATCCCCCCTGTCCTCCTGGAGGAGAACTCCCCCCAGTCCGTAGCTGCTTGCATCAGCGCTTACAACGACAGGCTTCCTCATGTCGAAGAAGGCGAGTGTTGGAGCTGGCGACAGCAATTTCTTGACTTCAGTGAAGGCAGATGACTGCGCTGGAGTCCACGCCCACTCAGCATCGTGATTCAGAAGATCGGTGGGCGGCTTCATGACTGTTGACAGGTTTGGCACAAACCTGCTCAAATAGTTCACCATGCCGAGCATTCGTGGCAAATCTGTAATGTTCTCTGGTTCTGGCATTTCAGTGATGGCGCTGACCTTGGATGGATCTGGCCTTACACCCTTCCCGCTAATATGTGGCCAAGAAAATTGATTTCGTCCCTGTCAAACTTGCACTTGGATTTGTTCAACTTGACACCATGCTCTTTTAGCCGATGGAAGACTTTCTTCTTCAGTTTATCATGTTTCTCCTCACCATCCGTGTGCAGGAGGATATCGTCTATAAAGCACTCAACACCGTCTATGCCCGCTAGAATGTCTTGCATTGTGCGCTGAAATATCTCAGGTGCAGAGGTGATTCCAAAGCAGAGACGTTTGTAGAAGTCCCGACGGAATAGGGTAATGAAAGTAGTCAGCTTCGCGGAGTCGTCGTCCAGGGCCAACTGCCAAAAGGAAGAAGTTGCATCAAGCTTGCTGAACTTGTTTGAACCGCTGAGTTTGTACAAGATGTCGTCTATGGTGGGCAGCATGAATCGTTCACGCTTCACCGACAGGTTGAGCTTTTTCAGGTCTGTGCAGATTCTAACGCTACCAGACCTTTTTCTGACCGGGACCATGGGCGCGCACCAGTCAGTTGGAGCGCTGATCTTCTCAATGACACCTGCGGCTTCCATGCGGTCTAGTTCAGCTTTGACTTCGTCCATGAGTGGAATGGGAATCCGACGTGCGACGTTCACGGAGTATGGCTGTGCATCTTCTTTCAAGATGATTTTCACTGGCTCGCAGCGTATAGGTTTAGGTCCCACATCGCCGAACACGAGGTTGGCAGAGTCAATTCTGTCTTGAGAAATCAGTCCCAAACAAACTGCGGTGTCGCAACTGAGGAGGCAGTCGGTGTCGTTGTTAAGGATGAAAACACGGAACGCAAAGTTGCGATTGTTATGCTGCGTAGTTGCGATAAATTCTCCCACGCTCCTTATGACTCCACCAGGACTGCGGAGAACTGCAGACGTTGTTTTCAGCTTTGGACGAGGACTGAGACGGTTGTAGTCGGCCTTCGACATTATCGAAACATTGGCCCCTGTGTCTATCTTGAAGGATGTAGCTCTCCCTCCAAGGTTCAGTGTAACGGGCCGTGGTGGCTCGCTAACTTCACTGAAGTTTACATCGGTAACGACACTACTGTCCGAGTCTTTGTCAACAGCACCTAAAAAGAATGAAGGGGTTTCCGATTCAGTGATTTCGTTGACATTGCGACTGCTGCTGCGACAGACTGTTGCCAAATGATTGCGCTTGCCACATTTTCTTCAAGTTTTCCCACGCCCTGGGCAATTGTTTTGGGCATGACCTCTTCCACAGTTGTCGCAGTTAGAGAAAGTTGACGGTGATGCATGGCTGCCTCTGTGTTGTGAGTGTGTACTTATTCTTCGGCCGCCTCTACCCCTGGGGTGAGCAGGCGACGAATATCCCCTCTGGCCGTAGCACACTGCATCTACTGTGACTGCTGCACCTAGCTGACGTTGGCTGCTGACCTGACCCTTTACGAGCTTGAAATGGCGTACTCTTTCGATGGCTGATTTCAAAGTAAGAGTTGCCTCGAGTTGAAAGGGCTGTGACAGTTCATTGTCCAGTACTCCTAGGACGAGTCTATCCCTTATGGTTTCATCTCGGTCCTTAAAGTCTTCATGTTCTGAAAGCTTGTACAGGGCTCTAACATATTCTTCTATTGTCTCCTTATTGTTTTGTGCTCGTGCATGAAACTTTGCTCTTTCGTGGATAAGATTCCGCTTGGGGACAAAGTGAGCGTCGAAATTCTCTAATACAGTGTCAAAGTTGTACCTAGGATCGTTACCTTCGACGGGAGCAGGGAACGTGAACGTGTTAAATATCTGTTCAGCTTGGCGTCCCATAGCGTAAATTAATTAACTTACTTGAATTGCTCCAGTCTCTGCTCTCAGTTTGGTGGCTGTGCGGTATCAAAGCATACGTTGTCGCCACTCGGGCCACTTGTGAGGTTTTGAAAAATCAAACGTTCCAGGAAGGCTTGAAATGAGGCATTCTGACATTTGTGACACGTTATCCACTGACTTCTGACACCATGTAATGTTAGTATGCACACACGACTTTAAACTGGAGAGACGAACACACCCGACACCAAGCATTTTAATAATGAGCCCGGGTGTAGTGTCTGACTTTTTATGTTGATCCTCGAAGTGAGTAACATTAACCAAAAGCCCATGGCATACAGGACGCTTAGGTCCCGTGATTAAAAAAGAGTAAGGTACAATACTGGGACTACCGTGACAATCAGTGGCGTGGCTCTCCAAGCGCAAATGGCGCCATGGCGCCACCCTTTGAAATGCAGAAATGATTTTCAAAAAAGGAAATATGATTTTCCAAAACTTAACTAAATATCACAATATTTTCTTCAAACAAATCTCTTATTCAGTGTTCATCCCTAAGTAAGCCAATCTTTAGTTAACGTGTCTATAATTAGGCTGATGGGAGGAGGGCGGGTAAGCCTCCCGTTGCCGGTCGCATGGGTCTCCCCGTGTCTTTCGTTCCCTACGTCTGACATCACTGAGGGCGCCAAGCCCAGATCGGTGCTACCTGAACCAGTGTCTCTGCCTGAACCCATCTGAGTGTTCATTGTTTAGGTGTCAAGTCTGGTAAAAATAATTCAAAATGGTCTATAAACTATTTGATTTTATCAGTTGAAAACAGGGTTTTCTTTCCAAGAATAGCAAAAAGGTTTCTTTCATACCCTGTCCAGATGTTTGACGGAAGACACAAGAGATATCACCAAGAACACAACTCAGCCAAAAATGCTACAACAGATACTCCCATCACACCAAGAGATTGTACTGTTGGGCCAAAGGGCCAAAGATGGATTTGGCGCCTGTATGGTTGGGAGGGGATGGAGTGGTAGTTAGCCTGGACATGGCATGGTTGCGAACTGTCTAAAAATAGGTTTGACTGTCTGCTTTCTAGACCAGAACTGCAAATGAATCAGGGAATTGGGTCATTATGTCAAGATGCCCCGAGGGCAATAGTGCATGCGTGTTCTTGACTGTGAATGTGTGCTTTTCTGTTGATCTGAGGGAAGTTGTTTTGTGTGTGAACATTTATGCTGTGATGTGACTGTGCGCTTCTTGAGCGCCGATCTTGGTTCTTTATCTTTAGTTCTATATATAAAAGATTGTACCGGCACTTATCTATTCTTCTCACATGGAAGTAGGTGTCCCTCTATTGGTATTAAAATTAAAGAGAGAGGCTTATATAGTAAATCTAGGTCTACAGCTTATAGGCCTGTAATAAGTAGGCATTACTTTTCGTTGTGCATAAATTTGTTCTTGGCGCCACCTTCTCTGGAAGTGACGCCGCGCCCCTGACAGTTTTTATTACATCAAACCACTTTTGAGGCAACTTTTTCATCAGATGAAAATTAAATAGAGAAATTTGGAGGTGAAACAACTTCGTTCCCGCCATCGTCAAGAATTTGACATAGAATCAAAGAGATGGAAGACAAAGGGGACTCTTCTCGTTTGAATGGTTCTCAAAATGCCGTGGCTCACCGTGAGTACAGAAAAATGACCACTGTTTTGTTCTATTGCTTGTTAGTTGGTGGTAAAGATCAGTGGAAGCAATCTAAGCCCCACCCAAATTTTGATCCGCCCACCGCCACTGCTTTTACCTACAAAGTATACTTTTCCTTTTATCAATTTAGGCCTGGTTAAACTTCAATAGTGACCTTCCTTGGTTTGTGAGTCTAATAATTTTTTTTTCTTCACATTTTAGGCTCAGAGATGCCAAATTTTAGCTCTTCAATTGCAAATTTTCTTCAGCTTACGGGGGCCTCTTGCGGCTCCCAGACCCCTGCCAATTGTTCCTCCTGCCAATTACTATTCGCCCTAATTGGGGGGCCACGGGCAAATTGTTGGTCGATCGGGAGGAGGAGAAAAAAACAACAACAAAAAACCTTCTGGGGGCTCTCGTGGCCTAGAGGTTAAGGTGTTGGCCTCTCATTCAAAAGGTCCCGGGTTCGATTCCGGGTTGTGCCAGAAAAATTTTCTTCTCGAAAATTGTCTCCTTTTACCTCCTTTCCTGCTCTCTAGCAATATTCTGTCGTCTGCTTTCGTCTCCTCTTTCTGCCCCCACCCCCTCACCTCCTTTGCCCCCTCCTCTGGGCTCCTGACTCTTTCTGCAGCCTTTCTACTGCTACTCCTTGACTCCTTACAGCTGCCTTTCTGCCACACCCCTGATCTTCTGGTAGGAAAGATCTACACCTAGCCTTCTCGGACAAGGGCGAAAAATCTCGGAGGGCCCGTGTGCAAGTTGCACACGTTAAAGATCCCTTGGTGGTCTAAAATCGATAAGAGTAGGCTTCGGCCGCCACCCGGGCAAAATTCAAAATTTCCTACCAACTAAAAGTATTAGATGTGTCCCGCGCGCTCATATGACCTTTATGCAGTTGCGAGCGCCGTAAAACACTTGTACTTATCAAAACAAACAAAAAACCTTCTGGGACCGGGATTCGATGCCATGCTAGGAAGCACTGAACATTAGAGAAAGTAGACAGCTTGCATACATTCTCTAACATTTAGAGAACGTAGACACTACCTTACGGCTGGGACAAAATTGCTTTTAATAGCAAGTCCGTCTTTTGTTTCTAATTGTGTGATTATTTTATTGAACGCATGTTTTGAGAACTTTTAATACAAAAGTGTTATCTATAAAATTCATTTCTTGTAACAAGTTTTGTGACTTAACAGTGTCATTGATGAGCTGTGACTTGCCGTTATACGCAAAATGTGTGTGATAAGTGGGAAGTACTGTGAACAATTCCATTTTCCCCGTGAAGGAGATTTGTAGTAGGCCCTTTTATATAAATTTATGAAGAAAAGTTTTTTGATCTAAGAATAATAATAATAAAAATAGCATTTGTATAGCGCATATCCCCGCTCAACAGCAGGCTCTATGCGCTTTACACTATATTATTACCCCAGCAGACCATAGAACACTCCGAGACTTTCTCAGCTTCCCGGGAAGCATACAGTGCAAGCAGCTGATTAAGCGCTCAAACACTAACAAACTAACAAGGTCTTTTGCTGTCTATAGCCGGATACCCATTCCCACCTGGGTGAAGTGAGGAAAATTTGTGTAAAGTGCCTTTCCCGAGGACACAACGTCGGGCCCCTGATGGGATTCGAACCCACGACCTTACAGTTGCGAGTCTGAGAGCCTAACCACTAGGCCACCGACGCCACAAACTAGTCTCAATTGTTGTTAAAAAATATGATTACGTTAAGACAAATTGATACAAACTGCACTGTGAAAAGTATCGGTGACATTGATTCACCCATTAAAAAGATATTTGAAGATGGGTTGCACCACAAATTTTTGACAGTGCTGTAGGTGTAGATTCTAGGCTTGGTCTTCTAGAAATCTCGTTAGATCTAGATCTTAGTAGAAGTAGAAGACAAGCTAAGTCTGCTTAGACTTAATACTAGAATCTAATAGTAGACCAGGTTTTTTTTTTACTTCTACAAGACTACTACTACTACCAAAATCTAGGAAGATAAGACGAAGCATAGCCTCTCTATTCTCTTGTCCAAGGGCCAAGTCAGTTCGCCAAGTCATCTGCGCATTGTGCGAGGCACGCCAGCCAGCGAAACCAGTATACCCCTATATTATAATTATGCATCCACGATCAGCTGATCAACGTGCTTTTTACCCTTCCTAAATAAACAAATATTGTATTTGTAAATATATATCAAGATTCTACACCTAGAGCGTGCTCATTAAAACAAAGATAAACAAACATATAATATAGATAAATGAATAAGCACTTTGAGGAACGAGGTAGATCTAGATTCTAGATATTATCTATATCTCTAAGGTCTGTCCCCCTAAAATGCCAGTATTACGAGATTATGAACACTATTATTTATACCTAAATTCTATAACAACTGGATCTAGGAGATGTGTGTGAACTTACCTATAGACGATTCATAGTTTTCAGCTTTCTCTTTGTTTGTGTGCCTCGCTTTCTTCCTCATATTGGACTTTCAGCTCATGGTAAATCCTTACTGTCAGAAAGATTCGGGCAACTTGACTGTCTATTTCACAACAGCCACTGTCATTTAGTGTCACTTGGGCCGCTGTAGGATAAGACAACATTTTCTTCTCCAATAATTGCTGTATTTGTCTTCTCCCAACAACATTCCAAAACCAAGCTTGGAAAATCATCTCAAATGTTCCCACTAAAGCGAATAATTTTTCAGTAGGTTTTTTTAAACCACCATTTGAACAATTACTGAACTGTTTTTGTTCAATTAGCTGGTGGTGTCTTTGAGCTGATGATGTCTGGTCTTGAGCTAAATCCAAACAAGCGTAGCACAACATTTTTCAAGTCTTCGGACAATGATAACCGCCTTTTGTAAGATACAATATTTTCTAATTGTATCACATGGTCCATTTCACATGATCTTACAATGCTGGCTGCTTGCTTCATTTCATTTGGCAATGGTATAGAATCTGGAGGGGTCAAGGATTGGCTGGTACTGTTCGTTGTCGAGAGGTTGATGAGGAAACTGTCTAGGTCTTCAGAACAATTGCTGCCTTCACTTGTCAGAAGAATTTTGTCAACCATGACCTGCCTTAAAGTAAATCTGAATTGTTGAAGATCATGATTTGACATCTGGCCATTTTTCCTTCGGATGACGGAAAACAGATTTTCTACACAATCTTGATTGAGGTTGACCATAACAAAACCGTTTACTGGAATTTTGTACTTAACTTTTCTGAATGATGTGAAAATCATAAGCTGCTTTTAAATGTGAAAAAACCCCAAAGAACTTGTTGAATTTAGAAAAAAGAAACTGCCCCTGCAGCCCCTCGAAATTAAATGTGAAAACATTGAGCAAGTGTCAGACTATAAGTACAGTCAAACCTGTGTAAAACAGCCACCCATTGTTAAGGAGAAAAGTGGCCGTATAAGACAGGTGGCCGTCTTAGGCAGGACTGATCAAAATGAAGAAAACAAACCGTTCCTTTCTGAGGTCCCAACCGAAGGCAGCCGAATTGTTTTTGTTGTTGTTGTTGTTTTCGCTGGGGGGTTTTTCTTTTAAAAAGAATTTTGTTGTTGCTTTTGTGCAAAGTTGACAATAAAACTAAATGTATCAGACAAGGAGGACCGGGTGCTATGGTAAAACAAACTCATGGAGAACGAGCAACGCTTCTGTTACAAGTTCATATTGACGTCCATTGTTACTTTGTTACAGACTGGTCAACAGTGACCACTCATCTCATTTACGATTTGTGTTTGAGTTCTGGGCGGGGCTTATGGGTTATGAGGGATCATACGCTTACCTCACCAGCAGCTGAAAATTTGTTACCTATTGGTCAACAGTGGGAGGGGCCTTGGCAACATGATCGGTTGGAGGGACTACCTTACAACAACGACAGGTGATTGGATTATGATGGCCCGCCCACAACGCCAGGGGCCAATGCACAATTTATGACAAAACATAATGAGGAGTCACAAAGGTGGCCGTCTAAGACAGGTGTTATTGTTTTCTGTGATAGGGGTTGTGTGTTAAAATATGGTGGCCGCGGCCGCGTTGGACTGGTGCCTGCTTTAGACAGTTAAATTTTATAGAAAAAAACGCAAGGGGGGAAATGAAAAGTGGCCGTTTGTACAGATGGCCGTCTTATAGAGGTGGCCGTCAGGGCTGGTTCGACTGTATTTGGGTGTTGCAATAGACAACAAACTCAGCTGGCATGTCCACACTTCTCTCCTGCATAAAGTATGATAAAGAAGTGAACACAAGACTATTTTTTCTAAGGAAGCTCATGTATTATAAAGTTGAAAGAACATTGATGTCCATATTCTATCATTCAACCATAGAAAGTATGATCAATTTTTGTATAACAATTTTATGGAATTATACATGCTCGTCATATTTTGGGCATGTGGAGTCAATGGTATCAACTTAAATCTTGTTAGTCTCGTATTTAATGAGAAAAATACTCATCTATCATGAACAGAAGTCAAGATATTTACGAATGAAGATGTGAGGGTCACCTGGTTTCAAAGGTAAAATTATCCAGAAAATGAAGTTTGTAACTTGAATAGCTTGAGAGTCCTTGGGAAATAAAAATCAACATTTTTGTGCCTTTAATCAACTTTTTTTCAGCAAAATCCACTCTTAAATATGTGTTTTTAAATAGATATAAAAGGTTTTAAGCCCAAAAAAAAAAATTCAATAAAAATTGCCAATCTGGCAGAAAAATGCCGTTTTCTTTGATTTCATTAATTTTGACGAGGGCCTGATTTCACCTTGATGCCTCACATTTGACTTTTGTTTGATTTTTTTTAAAACTGTGTTTTCCCAGGTACCGGCAACATTTCAAAATGGCGACAACTGAAATTGCATCCACCAACAACATGTTTGGACTTCAATTATTCAAAACTATTTTTGAAGAAAACAAAGACAAGAACACTTTTCTGTCCCCATTTAGCATATCAGTTGCACTGGCAATGACTCAACTTGGTGCGCGTGGAAAAACTGCATCAGATATGTCAGCAACTTTACAATGGAATGCGAACAGTGAGCAGGCAATCCATGATGGGTATCAGTCTTATATTTCCAAACTGCAGCAGCCTTGTGACAAGTACCAGTTGTCAACTGCTAACAGAATCTTTATTGAAAAAAACTATCCTGTGCTTGCAGAGTTCATCGAGAAAACAAAGAAGTTTTATCTTGCAGGTGAATATATTTCTTCCTCTTGCTTTTTAGTTTTAGAACTCAACAGACAGGTCCAGGGTGACTGTCAATTGGGGCTGTGGAGAACTTTATTCTTCTGTCAATTTCAATGGATGCATTTCCGGGAAATTGATGCATGTTGCTTACAATTGTTTTGGAAACGTGCAGAGCACCTACATCTGTAGCTACACACTGTGGCCAGCTGCATAAGAAGCTGATGACAGAGGAGATAAAGAGTTGACTTATTCTTCCTCTTTGAAACTTGTTTTTGGGTCCAGTAAGACTAGGTCTTTCTTCAAGCTTCCTATTCTGAGTCAGTGCCAGTAACATCACTTTCTGAGCAGGCCAGTGTAATGAAAGTTCGAATAATCATGAGAGAGGTATAGGAAAGCATATTAAATCTCTTCTTTTCTCTCTATATATAGAGAGGGTTTTCGAATGTCGAAAGGAGAAGAAAGTGTTACTCCTAATCAGAAATCAGTGATGACTTCAGAAACATCACATAGAAGCAGCTGGCTTTTTTTTTCTCCTCGAAAGTAAAGTACCCATGTCAATAACACTGCAAAATAATTTGAATATGTTAGATTGTTGAGTTAGGTTTACTTAATTGTGGGTAGAAATGGCATAATGACCATTTCTTTCTAAGGAAGAAATTTTGAAATTGTCAGGACAAAACAATTCACTTTTCAATTTTAAAAGTTGTTCTTAATGTCGATATTATGTTTACTTAACACTTCCTTTAAATGTTTTCAGAGCCTGTGTCTGCTGACTTTGGAGGAGACTCTGAAAAGGAGCGTACAAATATTAACTCATGGGTATCTGAACAAACACAAAATAAGATCAATGATCTTCTGCCCCGTGGGGCTGTGGATGCTCTGACTCGGATGGTACTGGTCAATGCTATTTATTTCAAAGGTACTGAGAACATTTTGCATCGTTTTGTTTTTTTAGATTTCCTCAGGAACAGAAGTTATTGTTTGAATATAATTTCTATCTGCACAGTCTTCCTCTTAAAAAAAAAAATTCAACAGGTTGGAAGAAAATCTCATTGGTGTGCATTAGCAATTTTTCAAACAGGACAATTTCATTTCCTTATCTTTATCATTGTGCCATGTCATTATCTTTATTGAGGTACTTGTTTTTGTGCAGTAAATCAGTTCATATATAATTTACATATAAACTTTAACAATGCAAAAATGTTAATTACTGTGTCATATGATTTGATAACTGTGTTTTGTTAATCTTTGGTCAATTCAACTTTATTTGCAAGCATTAATAGTGTTTTATATATTCCAGACCTGAGTCAATGCTGTTGACACCTTGTGTGAGGCATCATGGTGAAATCAGGCGCTCATCAAAATAATAAAATCAAAGAAACTTGGCATTTTTCCGGGGGTTTGGCAATTTTTATTGAATTTTCATTTTTTGGTTCAGCACCTTTTATGTCCATTTAAAAACACATGTATGACGAGATTTTTACTGAAACGGCGAAAGACACAAAAAATGTAAATTTTCAGTTTTCTTGGACTCTCAAGCAATGAAAGACTCCATACTTTGGCAGCTATTTTCTCGCTAATTTTACATCTGAAACCAGGCAAATTCTATCTCCTTCAATCGCAAATATCTCGACTTCTATTCAAGATAAGAGGGTAATGTTTTCATTGAAAGCATGACAAATGAACAAGATTTTAGATTATACCGATAAATCCACACACCCAAAAATTGACAAATGCCTGATTCCATCGTGTTGTGACACATTTTTTCAACATTGGGAAAAAAAATGTCTCAAATGTTCCTCAATACCTTCCTCTGTTTTATTTCTTAACTTACTAAGTTTTGAAACTCTGTCTTATTTTATAAAACAGGAAAGTGGGATGAGGAGTTCAATCCCAACTTGACTCGCCCTCTACCTTTCAAAGTCAGTCCTTCAAACACCAAAGATGTTCCAATGATGTTTGCCAAGCGCAAATTTGCATTCTTTCAAGATGAATCTCTGGCATGCACGGCCATTGAAATTCCATACAAAGGCAAGGATCTGGGAATGGTAGTCATCTTACCAAATGATGACTTTGGACTAGAGGTTTGTGAAACTACTTTAAAATAGTTTTACCCTTTTTCTTCGAAGGAGGTGTGAGGTAGAGGGGGGGGGTGGAGATGTCTTTGTGTATAATTATATTTTTTTCTTGTTTTGATTATGTAGATTTCTACAATAGGTGTCTTTCGGTAATTGCCATTGTACTCTGTGTTATAAATTGTATACTCAAGTTGTTGTTTTTCAGTGATACTTGTCTGATGGACTTTTTTTTCTGTCAAATAAGTTAAAAATCCTATAATGGCTAACTATAATATGGAACAATGCTAATTAGAGCTTTATTACATGGGGTATGAATAGGTCGAGAGGCAGCTTCGGGGTCTTTTAGAATATTTTGCATTTTTAAAAATGGAGATTAACCTATGGGCTGTTACAACTTTGTTTTTAAGGAGATGAAGTGTACTCTTATTTTAATTTAAATGTTTTTGTTGTTGCAAGAGTTATTTTATCATAAACGTGTATCAAATGCATTGCTGCAGATATATAATATTGCCAAGTACTTACATACTTTTTACTACTTTTCTCTGCTTCTGATATCGTTCTGTTTTAGTTTAAGAAGATTTGCTGCAATGTAATTTTCTTTCATTGGTTGCTATTAAAGGGACTTTGAAAATTTGATATTAACCTTTTTTGCAAAACTTGCAGTAGCGTGTGCTGCAATGCTGGAAGGGAAAGTTTTTGGTGGTAGTAATATTTTCAATCTAAGATTGATGTTTTAAATAACTTGGAAAATACAGTGTGTGGCAGACTCTTGCAGTCATCTTTAGAATGGAAATGAATGTGTAAAACAAGTGCGTGCAGCAATAGTTTCAGAGGCTGCTGATTATTTCTATCATCTAATAATTTTGTACGGTTTTTGGTTTTTAATAACTTTAATGTTTCTATATCAGTGGCAGTTTTGTTTTCCTGTTTTGATAATACCAGGCACTTGTGAAAACACTTACTCCTGAAAAACTGACCGGTCTGTTGGGAAGACTTGGCAAACCCTTTCAAGAAGTGAAACTTACACTGCCGAAATTTGAGGTTTGTAATTTTGTTTAATACTTAAATCTTCCTTGCACTTTGATCCCTTCCGCTACCTCCACAGGACAGCCACAGCTGTCTCCCCATTTCTAGCCTTTGTGTCTGCTGCCTCCCTCACATACTATGGCCCAATCAAGAATTCACAGTGACTTCTCAAAGACTTTTTCGCTTTACTGGTTTCACTCAACTTAGAGCAAATTGAATACTGTAAACAGAAAAAAGGAAAGAAATTGAAATGTGAATAGCAAGATTATTATGCATTCACCTCAGCACTTGTCAGATGTGAGAGGAAAATGTTATCAGATTGAATGCACCAGTATGGGATTGTCATTGAAATATTCAAAATTTGCCTAGGTGGTAATGGCTTATCGAAATCCTCCCAAAAAAGTAATTAGTAAAATATATTTACCAACGGTACTTTACACAGTGCACAAAAATAAGTTCCTAGAAGAGTTGCAAGCTCCTATTGCTTTTTATCGTGGCTCTAAATATGCATCTCTGTACTCAAAACTACACAGCTGATTCTTATACATGATGGATCAGGCTAAGGTCGTTTACAGATTCAAATGCCAAATCTTATACAGTGGAACTCGGATTCAATGAGCTTGGATTCAACGAGAACTCGGATTCAAGGAAAGGAGATGGATTCCCCTTTTTTTTTCTTCTTTGTTGTTGTTGTTGTTGTTGTTAGTGATCCAGTAGCATCTGAGCATTAACTCTTCTGCCTGATGTCTTTCTGTAATAGCTGCATGTCTGTTCTAATTGTTGTTTTGAGGAGTAGAGGCAGTTAGATGTGTGGGGTAGCTTGGGAAGAAAACATCCCCTTAAATCAGTTAGTTTTCTACAGAAGAACAGATGATGTTCCACTGTCTCTGAGGGGTAGTCACATAGTGGGCAGGCAGCAGACTGCTTTACTCCAATTTGGTTGAGATGTTGAATGAGGGGTACATGCTGTGTTCTAAGTTGGAAGATTATGGATTGATCTCCCCTCCTCAACTCATTGATTGGATCTTTGACCTGTGGTTTATTCATGTGGCCTCCTTCCTGTCGTAGTTTTTTTGGTGGTTTTTTTCTTCTTCTTTAAAATCAATAAAAATAACCCGGATTCAACGAACACTTAAATCAGCATGCTCGGATTCAATGAAGTTGCTTCCAGGGTGAACAGCTCCCGCAGACGTGGCTTCGCTCATTTTTCTCACACAGTGAACTTTATCTATACCTGGATACCATCCACTGCACCTGTATCGTGACCCATTATTTTGCTTAGCTGATTGCATGCGACCAATCAGTGACCTTCTTTCACACCAACACATGCGTTGTTGGCACGCGCACATGTCTACTCAAGTGCATGTCAGGGTCGGATGGGTGGTCTGCACATGTGTGACTGTGTGTTTGTCGGGGAGGAGGGGGGCACCAGTGATCCGGGCGTGGAACGTCGCAGGTACAAACGCATCACATTCGTCCCCCCCCGGCAACTGATCATTTTTACATTGATATAAACTAGTCTTGACGTAGATCTACGTAATGAATTGTTCACTAGTCTATGGAATCAAAAGTTGCCTTATGCTAGACTCTAAACAGCAACACAGCTTGTTGGCAAACAATCAAGATGACACAAGCGTGCATTTGAACAAATCGGTCTTTTTTTGCACAGCGTGTGTTAGGGCTGGGTCACGAGCGCGAGAACGGAACTGAATCATCACTCTTTCCTGCGGAACGCGATTCACGATTCACTTCAGCGGAACGCGGAACAGTATCGCCAAACGATTCCCGATTCACTCCCCTGTCGCTGTCACCACCTTGTAGCTTGTTTAACCTACTGCTGAGTCGAGTCACGAGCGCAAGAACGGAACGGAACACTTAGTATGGCTCCCCTTATTTTACAAAAGATGGTATAGTCCAACCCCCCTATTAAAACAAAATGAACGGGGTCCAACCAATAGAGAGAAGGAATTTTATGGAGCCATTGTTTTAGGGAATGATGGGGTTGGGGGGGGGGGGGATTTATCGGGGTCACTAATTGAGGTCAGTTGATAGAGCAGCGCAACAAAGGGTGTGGGGCGGAGAGGATGGTGGAACAACAAGATTGGGACTCGCGCTCGCCAAGAGGCGTTGATATGACACTGTTCCGTTTCAGTCAGTGTTCCGCCACAGCTCCACGAGCGCTCGCGTACTCGCGATTCATTGAAGCCGACTGAATCGCGAATTGCCACTCTCAAATTTGACGAGCAGGATCCAGCCCTAGCGTGTATGCCTGTAATTATCTACACAAAAACCTCATGTTTGCTATAAGGAACACTCAGATTCAACAAGATTTTAGGTCAGGCCCGGCGACCTCGTTGAATCCGAGTTTCACTGTATACTTTACTTTGAACAATGTGGCTGAGGAGCCAACATGTATAATATGAATGATGGAATCCATCTGGCTTTGAAAGTTATTTGAATATGGTTTGTTTTAAAGTGCTACGGGTCCTTTAAAATGAGCTATCGGCTTTGTTTGGCCATAATTTCACATGTATCTGTGTGACATTCTGAATATTGTACCATCTGTAGTCTTTTAGTCCTTTTTTTCAGTCTTATTTTTTTTCAAAGAGTCTCTATTCTACTTCTGTTCCCTTGCCTTTTCTTGAACACCTTTGCTAAACCTGATTATTCCTTTGGCCTGCATGTGTTTTTTTTTACTTGCATTTTTCTGTTCTCACAACTTAATTTTGAAACATCAAACAAACCTGGAATTTTTTTCATCCCCCCCCCCTGTAGCTTAACTAATAAATCAACTGGAAGAATGTCTTAATGCATACCAAATGAACTTTTCTATAATTAAATAAGTTGTATTGTGGCATTGTCTTTGAGAAATCACAGATACCAGAAAGCATTTGTCCCATTTCTTATTATTCTCTGCTTTATTTTGTTGTCCTGTCTACTCACTTGAACTTAGCAAGTGTTCTTAAAATAAAATACGTTACGGCTTATTATTTAATTAAAGGAAGCATGAGGACAGAAATTAGGATAACTGTGACATAGACATATACTCTGACAAGGAGCAGATAACTTTAAACTGCCTGCTTTTATATCCGTACACTTTGTTTTGTAACTTTGCCATTACTCCTCTCTCTTGCAAGATGTATAGATTTCGCTTAATAACAATGAAGTATGTATTTCTTGTTCCTAGACACTGGTCATGAGCACCTTCATTTTATTAGGCTAGGTTTTGCATTCACACCCTGCCTTTCAAATGGAAAGCAATTCCAAAACAGTTTATAAACAAAAAGGAAAAAGAGTTCTTGAACAGGTTACAAGTTTGAGAAGGACCCTGTGATTTCCACAGATTTCGTGCTCTCACATGCTAAAACCGACCTTGAGCACTCTAGGGATGTCCTCAGCATTTAGCTCATCCTCTGCTGACTTCAGTGGCTTAAGCAGTTGTCAAGAGAATCCAGTACACTTGGATGAAGTCTATCACAAGACATTCCTTCTTGTAAATGAAGAAGGGACGGAGGCAGCTGCTGCAACAGCAGTTGTTATGAGGAAAAAGCGCTGTGCTGTGAAAGATGTTTCTTTGATTGTTGACCACCCTTTCATAATAATGATTAGAGAGTGCACAACTTCATCCAAAACCGTGCTCTTCATGGGAGCCATGGCTGAGCTGGCTTGAATTACCCCTCAGAACCAAACTTTAATGTCAGTGGATAAACCATTCTTAGAAATTCTCTGGCTTGTAAAAAGGCAGCTGGGAGAATCTATATTTTGCAGATATTTTAAAATAGCATTTGAATAACAAGATATTGCCCAGATATTTCAAAATTGAAATAAAAAATGATAAACCTACTTTGTTACATCCAGTAAATTGTACTTAAAACAGACATTTTGTAGTTTTCTTGAATACAGTATCCCCTCGAATATTGTGAGGTTTATGTGCCATACTCTGCTGTGACTGGGGAAAATCCATGAATTGGATTATAAAAGGCCTATGGTATTTTAAAGATGAAACTGCACCCATGCATAAATTGTGATATGACAAAGGACTACTGTGCATCCCATTCAATGTTATTTTGATGCCCTCAGAAATGTTTCTTCAATGAATTTTCATGTATCTACACATTCACAGATGTATTAACTTACTCAAAGACTAATCATATATTTAACAGTCTCGATTCATATACAATATAACAATTTAAGCTTGAACACAAGTAAAAGATCAGAACTTCTTTATAATCCCTAGAGTGCCCATATATAGATGAGCATATCTCCTCAGCTGTACTCTGCTTATAGAAAGGTATTTTATTAATACAGGAAGAGATCCTGACAATAATATGAGTAAAGATGAATGCTCCAATTGTCATTTTTAGTATAAAATTGATCTTCAATTTCAGTGACAATTTCGATGATGTATGCAAGTGTATTGTGGTGATGATACCCCTCTTGTTTCCAGCAAACTGTATTGCTTTTTATGATAGATGGTATTAATTTCTCATGTGCAACGGTTTTGTAGTTAAATCTATCAACATAATTCCGTGTTAAGACTGGACAGCATAAAACAGCACCCTTGACCTTCTGTGTTTGACTCTCAGTGTCAGCTGTCAAAATGTTTTGATTGTTTTGTAGCCTCAGGATTTCCAGATCCGCATTATTTTATATGAGCATTTTAGATGTTTTTGTGTATAATTTGTGTTTGGTGCCTGAACATTGGTATTTTAGAGAAGGAATCTTTTGTTTGAAATAGATTTCAAAACTTGAAATGTGCCTCTTTTCTTTTCCTTGTTTCATACTTCTTCCTTCCTTCTCCTACCACCGCCTGCCTGCCCTGTCCCTTTTCCTTTTTCTTTCCTTTTTCTTTTTTTTTGTTGGAATTTCACTGTTTTGCATGATGTGCTTGTTTAATTATATTAATACTGAAGCCTTTTCACAGCTTAAATTCCATTCCATGCTAGAACTATGTGAAGCAATGTTCCTTCTCTGATCATTTCACACAGGTCAGCTGCAGCTTTCAGCTGAAACCA